GTGTACAGCCGCCCCTTCCCTAGAAAAAATCGGAGAAGGGGTGTCTGTGGAGGAGGGGTGACTGTACACAGGCTATAGTCTCAGACGGATGATCCATTTCTAGCTCTAGTGAGAAAACGACCAGTAACAAAATTCCCGTGTCCAGTGTTTTTAATGATAGCGAGGGACTGTACGGAATTACTGTCTGCCGTTGCCTTGTCCGTAGGCCGAATTATTCCGCGCGGCTAATGCGTTTCGGGTCACGTGGTCCGAGCGAGTTCGCCACCGAAATGCCTTGACCGAGATTGCGTGGGACGACGCCGTACAGGGACTATGCATAATGTCTACCGTAGTAATGTTTATCGGCAACGTGTTTTACAAACAGTGACATCTCTGCGTGTTGTTTTACTAGTGTTTCGAGGGTACGACCTCCTGAAATTGCAGCCTAGGTCTTGGTTAGGTCTTGGCATGTAGCCTAGCTCTTGGTTAGCACGTAAAAGGCGCTTCGCCTAACGTGCGTACGCAGTCACACCAGCCGGGAAATAAAAAAACATAACCATAAGTGAGTTTAGTACTTTCCTTAAAAGTAGCAAATCTAAGGAACAATTTCTTTTACGGTTAACTCTTTTTTACCCTATTTACGGCTAACGGTTAAAATTTTTCAATTTTTACGGCTATCGACTAAATATATGGCCGTTTTACGCCTATCGGTTAACCCCATTGAGACCCTCTCAAAACGCTTTTGCTCCAACGCCGTTTCAAGTGACAAACGAGTGATAGAAGGTCCAAACGCGCGTGATCATATTGCTTTATGTGCATTCAATTCATTCTTAGTGGAAGTCCAAATGAATGTTGGATACATACATGCGACGCATGCGTAACAACAACCTGAAGATTAAGATTGCGGGCTCCTCTTGTCGCCTGCAAAAATGATAAACTAATAGGGAGTTACTGCCTGCGCCCGTCACGTTTCTTTTGCGCCCAAAATGCCCTTTCCCTTCCCGAAACACCTGCCATGCTGGCTAATGAGGGGTATGGAACTGAGATCAAGAAAAATTTTTAACAGTGAATGTGCAAAGCAACATCTGGCCCCAGTTGTTCAAAACGTGGATAAAGCGCTATCAACAGGATGATAAATCTCTAACCAGTAGACAATGGTGGATAGTGCAATTGGTTTCCTTAATACTAATACTAGTTTTGCAAATTTTCTTAGAGCCTCACATCAGTTTCTTTAAGATTTAAATTACTAGGGCTCCAACGGGCTCATTTTTTCAACATTTATTCTGGTTCCCAACACTTTTTCGAACACGACGTAAAGTTAAGTGTTTTCTAAAACATCGAGAGTGTGATGACCTGTTGGCAATTTTCCAGATTTTGACTCTTTGTTGGCTCCATTATCAATCAAAGCAACCATCCCTGGGTTTTTCAAATTATACCAAAAATTGTAGAGAGCCGAGAGCAAGAAAGAAATCACCCATCGAACTCCATTCACAACGAAGCAATGAAAGAACAAAAAAGGAGCCGCCTACCACCCCAACTCCCTCCTCGACGAGCCATGATACAAACAAGGCGCTGCTCGTTGTGAGAGCAGTTCTTTTGGCAGGTCTGTTTATTTGGAAGCGTTAACGGTTGCGCCGTGAGGAACCGTTCCATCAAAACGGCCACCACGGCAAGAATAATTATCTAGGTGTGTCCCGCAAAAAGTTAGATGGCCGCCTTGAAAAGGAAACTCACGATCGAGCCGATGACGCTGTTGTTTTGTTAATCTCTTGCAGACCTTTCCCTACGCCTTTACCTAGTGAGTTCAGAGAGGTTGTTATCGCCCCTATAAGCGCCAATGTCAGTCCCAGCGGCAAGGACAATAGCAGTGACAGTGAACCCATATTTTCTGAATATTTCTTTTACTCTTTCGAAAAGTTGCATGCTATTTTCGCTCTCCGCAATCTCTTTTCTGAGTCGTGCAAGCTCCCCTTCACCTTCAGCTACTTTGGCTTAGTGCGGCTTCTTTGTTTATGGACTTCTTTTTGGGGTTTCTCTTTTTGTTGCTGTTGCATATCATAAAGCTCTTTTTTAACCCGTTCAAAATTGTCTTCAAAATTGTCTTTAGTCTTTTTTAGTTCGTTTTCACTTCCACGTTCTTCATCAAAAGCATCAATCTTGTCTTGGGTTTGTTCGATTTTGTTTCTCAGAGTTTGCACCTCATCATGGGCTCTTTGGCGAACAGCGGCAATTCTTTCCTTCTCTTTCAATTGTTTGCCGCCTTTTGTAGTCGTTGTGTTCCTTCTCTGATCGATTTATTGTCCTCAGCAATGATATCTTCGGCTTTAGGTATAAGAGCATTTTTGAATTTGTCCGTGACGATTTAAGAAGGCCTTAACTAATATCGGTGACTTGTGTGCGCGTGGACAAGGGCAGAGATTGGTCGCCAATAGAAGGACAGCGAGAAGATCTTGAACGCTTACTCTGGCAGGCGGCCTACGTAGCTCCTCCTCGTCGAAAACTGTGGGAGCCTAGTTTACGA